TTCAAGTAATGCTCCCAAACTCTAAGGCAGTGAACTATAGCCAACATCTCTTTCTCGTGCGTCGGCCACCTTTTCTCAGTCTCGTTCAGCTTGCGACTTTCAAAGACAATCGGGTGACCATCTTGCATGAGAACGCCCCCAATGGCGAAGTCCGAAGCGTCCGTGCACACCTCGAACGGTTTCTCAAAATCATGGAGAGCTAGGACTGGCTCTTGAGTGACGGCGTCCTTTAAAGCCTCGAACGCTGTTTGGTGTTTTGGTGTCCAACACCAAGCTTGCCCCTTTTTCAAGAGATCCGTTAGTGGAGCGGCTATGGCGAAGTGCCCTTCAATAAACCGCTGATAGTAATTAGCAAGCCCCAAGAACGATCTCAGCTCCGTTGGCTTCGTGGGTGCCTCCCGTTCCACGATAGCCTTGATTTTGGCTGGATCCATGCGGATTTTTCCCCCACCGATGATATGTCCCAAGAACGACACCTCCTCAAGGCCGAAGGAACACTTCTCCCTTTTAACATAGAGCTGGTTTTCCCTAAGGACTTGAAAAACGGCTCTAAGATGCTCCACATGCTCCTTCATTGTGTTACTATAGATAACGATGTCGTCCAAGTATACTTCAACGAACTTATCAATGAAATCCGCTAGCACACGTTGCATCAGAGTGCAAAACGTGGCTGGGGGCGTTAGTTAAACCGAACGGCAAAACAAGAAACTCATAAGAGCCATACCTCGTCACCATGGCTGTTTTCGGTTCATCACCGGGTACTATGCGTACTTGGTAGTATCCCTTCCGCAAGTCTAGCTTGGAAAAGATCCGTGCCCGTTGCAGCCGGTCGAACAAGTCCGCTATAAGTGGGATAGGGTACTTGTTCTTCACGGTTAGTTTGTTTAACGCCCGATAGTCGATGCACAAACGTAGCGTCCCATCTTTCTTGCGTTGGAATAAGGCCGGCGAATCCCACGGACTTTTAGACGGCCTTGCATGACCCGATTCAAGTAGCTCCTTGATTTGCACCTTGAGCTCCTCTAGCTCGCTAGGGGACATACGATAAGGCACCTTGGCTATCGGTTTCGCCCCGTCCACCAACTTGATGGCATGATCAACCTCCCTCCTTGGTGGAAGACCTTTGGGCAAATCGTCGGGCATCACGTCCTTGAACTCACCGAGGACTCGTTCTATGGGAGGCGGGATTCATTCTTCCTTTGCCGGCTCCTCTTTGCATGGTTCCTTCTCAAACACCATGGCGGCAAAGGTGTGTTCACCCCGTTTTAGCCCCTTGTTCAGCTGGGAGGGGCTAATCTCATTTGCCCGTCTAAACTTTACCACATAAGGCTTCTCGCCTTGGAGGATCACCATCGTGTCGTTGCTAGGCACGATGATTGGCTTAACCTGGTCTAAAAACTCCATGCCAAACACAAGACCGTAATCGTCCATAGGGGCGATGGAGAAATTAGCCGTACCTGACCAGTTGCCGATTTTAAGAGGCACGTCTCTTGCTTCGCCCACAAGACCTGTCCATTCGCCGTTCACACCCTTGAAACGGCCTTTGCTAGGTGTCCACTTGACTCCAAGCGTACGGGCTACCTCTTCCGTGAGATAACTCGTATCGGCCCCCGTGTCTAGCATGCCCCATCTAGACCCGTTTGTGAACGATGCCTCCATGTAAAGACGGCCTTGACGTGTCTCAGCCTTGGCATGCACGGCGTCTAGCCGTTTCATGCAAGCGACCCGTTTCTCCTCTTCTTGGCACAAACCTTGCGCCAATGCTGCCAACTTTGAAGGAGACGGGCAATCACGTGCCATGTGCGCTCCCTCGCACAAGAAGCACCCTTGAAACTTCTTTGGCTTGTCCCCCTTAGTCTCCTTGCTCGAAGACGGTTTTGTGGAGTCGGCTGCCGATTTCGCGGGTGTGGAAGACTTCCCTTTGTCTCCCCCACCTTTGCCTTGGAACGGCTTCTTGCCCTTGTCCTTGGAGCTATCCTTCTTTTGGAACTCAACAAGCGACTCGGCCACCTTTAACGCCCGATCGATGCCCTGGACTTCTCTCCGTTGTAGCTCAAGTTTGGCCCAACGGTTGAGACCGTCCATGAAAGTAAAGAACGCCTCCTTGGGCGAGAGATCCGGAATTTCAAGCATCAAGTTCGAAAATTCCTTGACGTCTTCCCGGATTTGGCCTTCCCTATGGTGCAGACGACGAAGCTTGGCCCCTGCTTCGTCTTCCGCATCCACGGGTAGGAAATACTTTCTAAACTCTTCCTTAAAACCATCCCACATGGTGAAGACCGGGTCTCCGTCCCCCACGGGTTTCATCATACGTTTCCACCACGATAAAGCACTATCTTTAAGATAAAGAGAGGCTTGGAAGAGTCTTACCGAGTCGTCCATGATATTCATAGCCCCAAAGTACCGTTCCATGCTGTAGAGAAAGTTCTCTACGTCCCTCCAGCGACGACTGCCCTTGTATTCGTCCGGCTTGGGCGCTTCAAGCCTTGGAACCGTCCCCACGGCTCCGGTTGTCCCTTGCCCAGCCACGGTGTCAAGCCGTGCCTTAAGACGCGCCGATTCTGCCCGAGAAGTCTCTAGCTCCCCCATAAGCCGGTTGACGTCGTCTTGGAGGGCGGCAACACGAGCAAGGCGTTCCTCCTTCGACTTGTTGCAACGTTCCACCATTTCGTTGAGCGTCCCTAGCATGTCGTCCTTCATTTGCTGCATGACCTCTTGCAATTCCCCTGCGAATCGCTCCATGCGAGCTTCGACGACCCCCGCTACCACCTCAGGGTGCTCGTCCCAACGGTCTTGGTGGTCGGCCACAGCAAGCTCTAGCTTGGCAAGCCGTTTCTCGAATTCCACCATCGGCTCCCTAACGACCGACTTCTCCTTGCGGCTTCCTTTGCGGGTGACCCTCCCCACCTCGCGGGAAACGTGATCCCCCTCAAGCTCCGACCCTTGAACGACCTCCGAAGGGTTGGACATAGCTTATGCACGAAAGAAAACCAACACACGGAAGCGTAGACGATGTAGCACACCAAGTATCGAGCCGAGGCTCTGATACCAACAGTCACAAGCTAACTTTTTCAAAGTAACGGCCATGCGGCACTAGCACAAACCAACTAACGATCAAGTGCTAGCTCAGCCTTAAGACCCCCAAAACGTGCAAAGCTAGGCAAGACCTTAAAGAACGGAGGCAAAGAAAAACTTAAGAAAGTTTGAAAGTGAAAGAACGATGAAAGCACAAGAGAGCTTAAGGAATGCTTGAGAACTCTACTCAAAACTTGGATGGATTACAAATGAAGGGGGCATGGGGTATTTATAGGCAAACCCCAAGTCCTAAAGAATTCTAGAGAATTCTATGTACATAATAAAATAATGGAACTCTAGAGAATTCCTACAATAAAATATTCTAAGTTCAAAATATCTACAAGTTTCTAGAATCTTCCACACGGTTCTAGCAAACTCGGGTAACTTCCACACGGTTCCACCCGTTTCTAGAGAGTTCCGGGCCTCTCTAGAAAATTCCAGAGTCTTCAAGATTTGACCGGAGAATTCCACAAGGCTCTAGACCATTCCGTCCCATGTCCGTCTACAAAAATAGCCTGTTTAGCAGCAAACCATCCGAATTCGTGGAGAAGAAAAACTGTCAGTGACAACTAGCTTATACCGTCCCCCTTCCCGTCGGCGACACATCTTCCCTCCGACAAATTTTTACAAAAACTAATAGATGTGCTGACATATGTCAAATTTAATTTTAAAATAATAATAAATAAATAACTAAACCCAAACTCAATCGATTGAAATTGAGAAAATAAATCCAAACTCGATTTCTTCACCAAACCCTATCTCATATGAGCTTTTCTCCAAAAACCAAACCGAAACAAAAAAGTTTGATCGCTGAGAGTTTTTGCAGACAGATCTAGATTGTGGGGATTGTGGCGATTACGTTTTCAATTTGTAGGAGTAAAAATGAGATCTTCGCCTGCGGCTCAATGCTTCGAAGATGGAAATCGATGACTTTGTGATCTGCTCGTTTCAGTGATTTAGGTTGTTATTGATGTATAATTCATGTTGAATTGTATTTTTTATTCTATTAATTTTTGTTATGGGTTATGGATGACTCTGAGCCTGTATATTTGGGATGTATTTTGTGAAGATTAAGAGTTTATGTTGTGATTTTTTTAGTGTGTAATGAATTAATGTTTAACGCCCCCATTAGAGGGGGAACAAACCTTTTGAAAACTATATATGTACCTGTTTTCGTTAGTCCCATCGTATCACTACCACAAAATTGTGGATTTCCTGGATTTTTCCAACAGGTGCGTCCCATCGGCAGCGGCGCTGGCTCTCAATGGTGCTAGATGGTAGGCGGTGGTGTTTTGTGGTGATGACTGCCCAGGAAGTTTGTCCGTATGCGACTAACAGAAAAATTATCGCGTGGGATGCACGTGTTGTCTGATTTAACAGTCAACTAACAGAAAAATAACATTGCAAGTTATGGGACCTTTAAAAGATGATTTCAGTCAATTGGGACTAAACAAATATAACTGATCAAGTTATGGGATTTTTAATACAATTAAGCGAAAGAAAAAGTCCCTTTGAAATATTGAGAGGTATGACTCCTTACGCTTAAAAAAAAAATTTCCTCAAATCTACCCCTCCTTTTTACTTCTGTTTTGCAGAATCATCAATAACAAGCATCCACTATTGTCTTACTGAATATGTTGCCACTGCCAAAAATTGCAACTACTGCCAACCATTAATTACATGCATTCAAAATAGCAGAAGATCACCACGATTGATGAGAGCCAAGAAAATCCAACGACGTAAATAAATTTTGAGGTCATAATTTACTTGACCTGTGTTTTCTTTGGATTTGCAGTTGAATTGACAGTAATTTTTTTGGGAGAAATGAAGTTAGTAACGGGCGGCGGAGATTTCAGTGGGCAACAGATTTGGGGATTATTATTATTTTTTTTTATTAGGGCTAAAGGACAAAAATGTAATTTTGAGCCAATCTCAAAAATCAACCAAGCAGTTGACATGAAAATCAACATTCCCTTTTCAATCAATGCTTGAATCAAATCCCATTTCCAATCCCATGCCAAATTTTAAACCAGACCTAGGTTTTGCCAAACAGAATAACGACTATGGCATACCCTTCTGATATATCTTCCAACAACACTGCAATATGAGAGTGTTAACTTTTTAGCGATCTACAGCATACACAATAAGCTCTATAACCCCAAAGAAACAATTTAGTACCAAAAATCTGTTAATGACCTCCAACCAATCTGTTTAAACTTCCAAAAAGACGAGATCGTGAACAATATCCATATTCACAGATTGGAAACACGAGCCGCTGATCTATAAATAAAAAACTATGTCCATGAGGCGAATCGCCAACTTCTAAGTTCTAACGAAAACCCAGATTTCTTTAACCTAGAGTGAGGCAAACAAATGTTGAAAGGCAACATGTCTCATGTCCGGGAACTTCGTTGGTTATGGTTCTTGGTGGCCCCTTTGCTTGTAGCATTAACAGATTCTGTTGGTTGCTTAGTGAAACTCTCTGGACTTTCATGTGTCAGTAGTTGGGGCAGTACCATTTCCGAGGCACGCCATCAAAATGTTAAGCTGCACTTGCAAAAAACAAAAAAAAAAAAAACCATCAAAGAGGCTTTGTGAGGAATAATTGATATACCGAGCAATGCAAATAAAGAGCAAAGATGAGAGTTCACCATTTCCTCCAATTCTTCTATCTTCTTATTCTTCAACTCTAGAGCCACACTCTGACTGGAAACCAATACAAGTAAAAGATTTATAAGATACAGGTGTTCAACAGTGGCAAAGGGAAGTGGATCCAATTTAGGCCGAATTGAATTGCTAGGAAACACAAAGTTCAGAATCAATCAGGTACGGCATACCTCTCTTCATATTGGGCAATCTTAGCCTGCCACATCTCTTGGTTTCTTAAGAGATTGTCATTGATCTACACATTTCAGAGGGAAAAAGACATTATAAAATTTTCCTATTGTGTTTTGATAAGTGACAACAGTGAAGCAAAGGTGGGTGGATGCTTACATCATCAAGAAAATTCTTCTCTTCCACACACTTATCCAGCTTAGCTTGCAACTTTACCAATTTCGGATTCTGACTTGAAGCTTTCTCAACAGCTTCAGCAACTTCTTTTCGATTTTCTTCTTCGGCATCTTCAATCAAAGTTTCAAAGTACTACAATCCAAGCAGAGGTTGTCAGTGTGATCTAAAAAAAGCAATTATGACCCTAAACTTTGGCTGAAGAGTAGATCATCAATTTGGAAGAGTACAGATAAGAGGATATCTCAGACAACCAACCAAACAAAGAATGTGCCAGCATTTCAATGAAAAAAGAGCTGACCTGTTTCTGACTCTCTAACTGGATGGCTAGGAGCTCATTGTACTCGTTGACAATCTGCATTATACATGTGCAGAATCAATAGAGATAATTTAGGTATGGAAGCAATAAAAAACTTACAGGAAATCAGACTGGAAGTGGATCAATGACTAGATAGAATACAGCATCAACTTTGTTGTCCATTTGAACATCACCAAATTCAGCTTCCATGCCACATTCACAAGTACCACAACCATCATTGGCCAGTGCACAATGGCGGTTCAACTCTATCAACTTGCCATCAGTTTTAGATTGGATCAGTCTATGAACATAGTTATCTCCAGCATAGTCCCACACACGTCGTGTTTCTAATTCAAGGGAATAGCAGTGCTCTGTATCTTTCCAGTGTTGTATAGCATGTCTTTCTCTAAACCTACAGGAAAAAAAGCTTTCACCATATTAACTACTGTATTGGGACATTAGTCTAAGGAATATATCAGTTCTACACTTTTGACAGGAGGAGAAAAGCTGGAAAGAACCAACAATTGATAAATACTAGGAGTACTTTTACCATACCTGCCACAACCAATATATCCACAGATTATGCACATCCAGAGATTTTCTGAAGTTTGACAAACAAAACAATTTGATTTCTCAGGCTGCTGCTGGCAATAGCGGCAAACCTAGATCATACGGCAAAACCATATAAAATCCGAAGACGGAGCATGACTAAAATTAACTGCACCAGAAGCTAATTTAAAGCTAGACCTTTTGCACTTATGAGTTACAGATAAAAATTTGTCTGATTGCAAGCGGAATACATATAAAAGTGGGTTTCAACCAAAGTAACCAAGATTTCAGTTTCAATATTTAGTGGCCAGATTTACTATATCAATATCTTTCTTAGAGATATATCTGGAAAATATGGAGAAATTACATCATAAGCTAATCTTTCAGTTAGAGATAGAAGACAAAAAGGAAGCTCAACAATTAAGCATCAAATCTTTCGAGGGAAAAAACTGGTACAAACAAAGGATTTGGTTACAAAACCTGAAGAGTGCTGAGTACACTAAATTACAAAAGAAAGAAATAAGTTGCACAAAATTGGTACAATACAAGACCAGAGGAGAGTTTCCTATCCTGACTATTAGTTGCTTGACATGATTTTCCAACTTTTAGTCAAAGAACCATCAGGCGTCTCATACATTGACAAGAACAAGAGTTTCACGATCCCCCAAACGGAGTCAATGATAAGAAAGCATCCGTTTGTAATTACCACAACAATACAGCAAAACAAATTATTCATATTCAGTTAATATGGAAAAGGAAGATTAATACATACCGGACAAGAAGAATCAGTCCACTTAGAGATACAAGAGCAATGGAAAGAATGATTGCATATAGTTGTCAGGGTTCCACCCATATCTTGATCCAGCCTTTCTGGAAAGGTAAAACATACAACGAGAGACAGGGACAAGTTATCCAAATATCCAAAAGAACCACCTTATGATCTCAAGGAGTCATACAAGATCGTAAATATACTTTAGACTATACATTTTATCCATCTAAATAAAGATGTTTGCTCCTTAATCCCGACAGAAGTTTTCATGCATAAGTTAAGCAACATACAGATGAGGAATTAAAGAAAATTCATGAAAAATAAAACCAAAATACCGAGACAGACTGGACATGAGGGCTGCTCCGTGAAGCCTACCGGAGAAGTCTGCGCATGCTCAATTGAACCAGTGAATTGCACATCAATGGTGAATAGTACGCGACAGATGTCAACCTTCAAATATAGAACAAACTGTAAGATGGAGAATTAAGCTCATGAACCAACCTTTACCAAAGTAGGAGAAGCAAGATATACCTCAAGAGATGAGAAATGTTTTCCATTGAAATACATGTAAAAATGATCTGCAGAGGTCTGACCATCAAATCTGATCAAGACGCTATAACTGTCATCCACGCCGTCTTTTCTATCCATTTGCAGGCAATGAAATAAGTGTCAAAATCTCTATTAGAACTCAAACGATACCACACTAACCAAATATAAATTGTTTTATAACCAAACCTGACAATTCTCATTTCCAATATATTTTGAATGAACGAACCACAAAAGAGGCAAAAATCTGCGTACGTCATGTGATTTGGGATTCCAAGCACACAAAGTAGAGGTTTCCTCTCAACCTGAGGACCAACAAAAATGAACTATTAGTGAAACATTACAATCACCAAAGAATCAAATTTATCTCCAAAAAAGACCAACAAAAACAACGAGGAAACAATACAAGCATGATAGCAACTCGGGAAATCAGAAATGACAAGGATGGAAAGCCAAGTAAATCTTCATTAAATACAAAATTTAGAAACGCAACAAAGAAGGAAGAGAACCAAGTACACCAAAACATAAATCTTTACTACCCGGAAAAAAAAAAAAAAAGTATCCAAAGTATTTAGTGCGATTCTTAGTGATAAGATCACCAAATTTCACCGTAGACACATATTAGTGTGAAAGAAGATATATTCGCTGATCGATAAGGACAGAAAACCATCCACACATGTTTCTTAACTTCGCAACAAATTACAAGCCGGAAAAAAAAAACGAAACTAAAAGAAAACAACACAATTATACAGTGATAGCAGGATGAATAATTGAATTAATAGAAAAGAAATCGAAGCTTACAGGGAGATCGGAAGACGACGAGACGAGTTCTTCACGGAATAAATGCATAACGCCCCTAGTCTCTTCAATTCTAGGGTTACCGGAAGAGAAATGTAGCGCTTGAGTGAGTTTTCCGGACTCCATATCATCACCGTTCTTGAGCGGCTCTGACGAAGATAAAGCTCCGGCGACAGTGCTCGCACTTGTGGAGGTCGATTCTGACATTGGCGGTTAGTTTCTTCTCTGCTCTTTTTTTCCCCCCTCCTCTTACCGTATCAGTTGCTGAAGGGAGGGTCGATCTATTTGACTTTTCATTTATAGTTTCGCCGGTTGAAGTCGGTGTTATGTTGATTTACTATTTTAACCTTGGCATTTACAGGCTTTTTAAGAAGACCGCGCCAAAACAGCAGTAATGTTTTTTTACAAATGGTTATGAATCAGCTACATTTTACGAGCCAAAGCAAAGGACATAAGAGAAATATTACCAACAAATTTTGAAAAACCTTGAGATATTTATTGATTTGGGATGGAGTTCTAGTTCTACTCTCACCTGTCACCATGTTGTTGACCGTCCAAATCATCGAAGGAAACAATAATAAGTTGGCTAAAATTTCTTTCTGAGAGTAAAATCGGCAATTGTGTGGGAGAAATAAAGGATTTTCTTCTCAAATAGCATAATAGGATTTTGCTTTAATGCGCTTCTCACGTGCATTCTTGAATGTACGGTAAGTATCTGTTTTGAGTTAAAAAAAAATGTGTTATATGATTTAATTATTTATTCAGTTAAGTCAAAATACAACAAAATCAACTGTTGAAGTCGGATAAAATGCACAAATTATAAGAAACAAATAAGGGACAAATTAACACTAAATTTTATTCAAATTTATGCTTTACAATTAGGATTAGATGAAATATTTTGGAGTTTTTTTTCTTCTAAATATAGGGAAAAAGTTTCACAAAAAGAAATTTAGGAAAAAAATTAAGATGTGTAAATAGTCAAAAGCTAATGGTAAACTAATTGGGTTGGAATGAGTATAATCTTCGTAGTAACGTGGTTGTCACTTGTCAGCCTATGGTAATTATAAATAACTAGATGGATCATACGCGCGTCGCGCGTACGCAATGTATAATGACGTAATAATAATTATGTAAAGAAAAAATAGTAAGTTACCTTGCTATCTAACACACTATCTACAAAATGCATTAATAAATTTATCAGAAATAAAAAGTATATACTCAACAAAATGTTATCACTATAACTCGTCACTTGTGATTTCAACGGTAGTGACGCATTTTGTCTTGATTGCATGAACATTGAAAAATAAAATAAAATCAAGTTTCCGTGTCACCAAAAAAAAAAAAAAATAGGAACAACTAAAAAATGCAGGGAAAAAAATTAAATTCAAGAGTATAAATATAGAGAGGAATAATGAAGAATGATTAATTTCGATAGACTTGAGAATGAGAGATGAAAGTACAAAACTTAAAAGAAACAAAAAAAAAAAAAAAAGAGAAGTGACAAAAACTACACTCTTTAGAATTACATATAGGTAAATTTAGACTACATGACTTTTGATTTTCTTCTCAATTATAGAACAATTTAAACTATCATTTAGGAATCTATTAAATTCAAAGAAAAGAAGAGAAGAAGAAAAGACATTTTGGAATTCAGAGTGGTTATAATCACCGAAACCGTTTTTAGACTGATCAAATTCAACTAATAATGAGAAATAATTTTTTGGTAATCTTAAAAATAAAATTAAAGGTTACAAAAACTGAAACTATTTTAGACTGATCAAATCTTCCGAATAATGATTTTTTTTTTTTGTAATCATAAAAAAAAAAAGTTAATGCAAGGGAGATCAAAGGTTCACCATCTGTTGTTTGATGATAAAGGACAATTTATTATCAAAAAAGTAGACATAAGGGAGTACTTTATTAGTATAAATCAAAAGATAATGAGCAATAAGTGAGATAGTAATGAAATAAATTAGAGAAAATGTAAATGCTTTTGTCCAAATTAGATGAGAGACTACAAAAAAAGTTATAAAAAAAAAGAAAAAAAAAAGACCAAACAAAAAATTAAATGAGAACTACCAGACTTTTAAAATTATTCTGCAATTATAATATAGTATGATGAATTAGAACGCATAATAAAGTGAATCTACAGAAATTTTGCAAGAAACACACGATTTCTGTTTAAGTAAAATCTCGTTAAAAGAACTGAATATGTTTTAGATGATACAAGAAACCCAATAACTACACTGTCAAATTAAAATCTACATCAAGTTTGAACGTTTCATCAAGAGAAATATAAACATTATTGAAGACAAAATCCTCCTTATACAAATAGAACCAGGTAATCTGTTACATCAAAACAATTAGAAATCCACAAATCCTAGCTAGCAGAATGCAAGAGGAGTAGATGGCCAACATAAGTTTTGCTTAACGACATAGTTAGTTTTGAATGTATGTCCATGAGAGACAAACAGAGCATCAGCACACCTCTTTGCGTGAGAACTCCAATACTGCAAAAGAGAGAGGCAAATGCAATTGTAATAAAAAAATTGCCTATCTAGCCACAACCCACACAACCTCAAGAGACATCTCTAAAAGCAATGTCATAAGTCATCACCATGTGGTACTGGAAGAAGTAAGGGCATTTTTTGCTCCTCACAATTCCAAGATGTTCCTTTACCAAGAAATGTGCAAGCATAAACTAAACTGATAATCTGTCTTTAAGTCCCAAAACAAGACAAGTTAAAAAAAAAAAAAAAACCCCAAAATTCTCTAAAAGGGGAGAGATGCAAATGACAATATGTTTTTGCATGCAACAAAACACAAAAAAGAAAAGTTAGGAAAATTACTTTTCAAATTTAATAGAACTCGATCCATAGGAGAAAAACAAATAAATAAGCATGTTTTATAGTATTCTATTAGCATAATTATTAGCATGAATGTGATGGGAAGCCAAGGGGTGTAACTATAGCCAGTTAAATAGTCATCAAGAAGTTGAGGAGGAAAACGAAGGCTCTTAAAATTAAATTCAGAATTAGATACAACTTAATGTGATAGTAGTTCTTTCAGAAAAAATAAATGTGATACTAAAAATATTAATGATGTATTAATAACCGTTGTGGTTTTGCTTCCCACGTGAGAACCTGAAATTAGAGAATAAATCTTAAGCAAGTGGCACATGTGGAGGACTATCAAAACTTAAGAGATATTCTCCAATTATATTATAGCTAGATAATCCAGATTAACTGAAGGAGGAATACAAAAAGTTTCTAGAGGTAACTGTGCGGGAGGATTAATTAGAGAGCAGATAATTGGGAGGCGAGTTACAGAAAGCTTGAACTGAAACTAAAGGAGTGCATAACACTGTAATTAGGGTATATACGTGTGGGTTACTACCAATAAAGAGATATGTGAGAGGGGAGAAACTCATTTTATATATATATATATATATATATATATATATATATATATAGTTTGATAGAATTACTAATTTCTCACCTAATAATAATGAAAAAAACCCAATATTACACTCTTCGTGTATCATTGAATTGGTTTTTAAGCAAATATTCTCACATCATGAATTTAATCCCCCATTCCAATAAGGGTAAGCAGTGATTCTACCCTTTGTTGGCTCTTCTAAAGGATTTGTTATGGCAAACCCATACATGAAACCTTGATTTTGCATTCGAACTTATTATCCCAAGCTTGCAGAGGGTGATTTACCTCTCACTACCATTCCAATAAGGGTAAGCAGTGATTCTACCCTTGGTCATTGGCTCTTCTAAAGGATTTGTTATGGCAAACCCATACATGAAACCTCGATGTTGCATTCGAACTTATTATCCCAAGCTTGCAGGGGGTGGTTTACCTCTCACTATTATTTGTAGGCTATTACAGTAGGGATAAATTTATCCATCTCTAGTAGGATCTCCGGGTTACCAAAATTATTATTATTATTATTATTATTATTATTATTATTATTGATGCATTTTGACTTCCAAAAAGTCCTCTCTAATAAATCACTATGTAATTTTTATAACATATAAAAGATACATAAAATTTTAGATTTTTTAATTTTAAATACATTAAATAACTAAAGTTATTTATTGCATAATTGTGATATCGCCGGTTGACTCCTGAGTCGATTCGAATTAACCCCTGATTACTCTCGATCCCAGCCTTCCCAAGTCGATGCTCAAGCCAAGTCTGACAGCACTGCTTTACCGGTCTTGTAATGGGTGAATGAATTGATCTAGTTTTTTGTAATATGTGTGTACCGTTTTCAATAACACAAGGTGACTTTTTTTTTTTGGAAAAAAAAATTTCTTGAAAAATATTAATATATTAAAGAAGGAGGAATCAGCCATAAATTTAGCAGTCCTGCTCAATTGAAAATTTTTTGGTGATACGTATCACAATTCTTAAAGGCCATTACAAAAATCCCATTTTAAAGGTGTTATTATTACTATTACTTGGAATTTTTATAGAATAAAATATGACGAGGGATGAATTTTCAGAAGTTTGTTAAAATATGATCGGATAAAATTAGTTATGTTTGAAATTCTAAACTACTAGATAATATTATAATTCAACAATTTTTTAATACCATTGTACGTAAAGAGTCCGGTAACTTTTAAAAATTTCTTGTTCGTGCTCACAATCCATGATATACGAATAAACTAAATCAATTTTATCCAAAGTTATTTTAGTTTAATGATTTAGTTGTCATCTTCAAATTCAAATCGAAGATATGATGAATCAATTTTTTTTTTTTTATAAATATGGATTGTAAATTGTAAATAACATGGATATCGTTTCCCATTTCATCACCAAATACTTCTTCCTCTTCTACTTTCTCTTCTTTCTATCATTTGCATTAGGTGCAAGGCCTCTTTCTAGATCATCACTAGTTTCTAGAGCATCTCCAGTTACTGTTGTGCTGACACCGGCCGATTTGACGCCGCCAAAAAGAACTCACAGGCCTTGCCCCAAAATAAGTATAAGATGCGGTAAAGAAAAAAAATAGAATCTATTTCTTTTTAGAAAGAATTGCAAGAGAAGTTTCAATGATTAAAGTTGAAAGGAATAAATCAAGGGTCGAACTGTTGAGCGCCCTTATTATTTCATTTGAGCGCCCGCGAAAGACGGACACGCCCCTGCAAATGGAGGTAAGTTTTTTTAAAAAAAGGGGGGGAGGGGGCGAGGGAGGAATGCACCAGCCGCTAACGGCTGGCGCAGGAGAAACACGCCACCCCTATGGG